ACGAGTCCAGTTCTGAGAAAGACGAATGCACACAATGCCTCCTGGCTCCTCTGCTTCCTCCTACTCGGACACACGTCCTCAGGCCCTGTCATCGCAGCGTGGCCTTCCTTATAACGTCTAGGTGTAATTCAAGTCACCACATGAAACTTGCTGTTTCATTTACATGGTTCAGGGCTGATCCCAGCTGTTGGCAAATACTTCATCAAAACTTCACACCAGAAAAAAAGAAGAAAAACTGCATTCTGCTACCTTATTTCAAGTTGACTGCTTAAGCACACGAATATGGAGCACCACAGGGGCTGGGGACGCAGACTGCGCTTAAGTGCACTCCAGAGACGCCACGCTGTTACGAATTTAGTCTCAAAATGAATGCGCATGACTGAGTCTACATGTGAGGACCAACTACAACTGGGAGTTCTCCAAATTAACTTTATGTAGAATATAATGTTTTTTAAAGGATAAGTAATAAAATGTGCTAATTTGAAGCTCACATCTGTTATTCAAAATCAATAGCAACTACAACAATTATTTACAACAGAGCAATGGAAGATTTCTTTCAGGAAGAAGTACTTTATCACTGACATTGATTGGAACTGCTGGTGCATGTTTAATAATAAAAAGCAAACCTACTTTTATATGTTTTTATTACTTTTAGGTTGTTTCTTTCGATTCTCCTTCCAGTTCGCCACCTGCAGGATCTCTTTAGCTAAACTGTACCTGCTGCTAAACCCACAATGACTTTCATCAATTGTATTTTCCATTTCTAGAAGCTCTACTTCTTTTCCAAATCTCCTAGGTCAATTTAATTGCTTTGTGGTTCCTTGTTCAGGTTTTTGGTTCCTTCCTTTAATCTGTATGTAAATATTTCAAGCATTCTTGATATTCTGTAATTTATGCTTTCAGCATCTCAATTCTCAGATATTAAGTTCTAATGTGGTTTCCTGCTGACTTGCTCATGGTGGCTTTTACCTACATGTGCTTGGGAATTTTTATTTGTGGGCTCACGTTTCATGGATTTTAAGGGAGGTCCAGAGAGACCTGAGTGTACTGGGAGGTACTCGAAGCCCCTGCATGTTCTCCCTGGCTGGCCAACAACGCCATGCCTGAGTGCTCTCTACCCAGGGCCGCTTCTCGGGGTTGAGCTGGCAGCAAGCAGCCTCAAGGAGTGAGGCGACATCTCTGATCGGAGTGCAGGCTAGTTTACTGCTCACTAAGAAAGCAGTGGACTCTCCAGGCTTAGCATGCTTCAGCTGCAGCACCACCCACTGCTTGCAAGGGACCTGCCGGGGCCCTCATGTCACCCCTGTGGGAACGCATGCCAACATGAAGCTCCTGCTGCCCACTGCCATGAGGAATAAAGTCCTGTGCCTGACCCCGAGACCTCACGTCTCCAGCCAATGTCCACGAAGCACTACAGGCCAGCACATCAGTCTATAGGTAGAGTAAAAACCCAGACCCAGAAATGTGCTTGTCCCTCCTGATGCCCAGCGCACTGCCCACTTGCAGGAACTTAGCTCCTCAGCATGAGGTTTTCAAACTCTTGTGAGGGCAGGCTATGGTTATAATCTCAGGGGATTTTTAGTCTTCCCAATCCTGGGTCTCAGACAGACAAATTTTCCTCTGGACTCCGTTTGCTGGTAAATGGACAGTTTTCTCATAACCGATGAGGGTCAACTCTGCACCGTGTGTGGATCCAAGGCCTTAACTGTACCATGACTCAGCTGTTAAAATGGAGGCAGCAGGTTCTAGTATCAACTGATGCCCCCCAAGCCAGCCTAAGGCTTCCAGGTTCACCATTCTGGCTTCAACTTCCTCTTCATTTCTGGCCCATGTGAAATTTCCCTTGCTTATTTGTGAGCTCAGCCATGCATGTGAGGAGATAGCTGCAGCATACCCAGTGGCTCAAGGTGTCTGCACTGCAGGCTTTCAGAACATCTAGTGAGTCACTTACTCCACTCACAGAGCTTCTCTGTTCACTTCAATTCTGAACAAAAGATGAGGCAAGATAATCTCCGTCCACTGTA